GTCACTAATCTCCATCATACCTGACCTCCTTACTTGCTGGGTCAGACATAAAGGTCACCACATGACCATAAATGAGGAGCTAATGATCACCAAGGCCACTGGCTCGTAGCTTACGATTTGCGAGCGTTAACCCAAACTGATGAATCACATGACGAGATCCCATCTCTGTTGGATCGTAAATACAAAAGGCAGGTGCAGTGGTGTGAGTCCAAGTTTATACCGCCGCTTGTGTAGAGATTAAAAACATACCCTTTAATGAAGTGCACTACAATAGTGACCTGTTTGTACAAGAACGGCGCTGCAACCGCAGCCTCCTGTCTTTTTAATGGCTGAACAAACAAACCAGCAGACAAAATAGAGTGCGGCTTTTGTCAAGGGGAAAGGGCAGAGATCTAGTTAAAGACGGCGTTTGGAGCCACATGAAAAGAAACGGCGAGGAAAAGGGAGGAGGAGAGACGCCTGGGTGTTCCTGCAGCATTGTTAAGTCTTTCTGCCTTTAAGGGACACCTGTCATTGGTTGGGCGTTGAGCACAGGTGCCTTAACGCTGCCAGATTTGTTGGTCTTAAAAGGAGGCCTCAGTCAACAGGCGGCATGACGGGAACAATAGTGATCCTGAAGACGTGAGTGAGAAAGAGGAGGGTGCGATGGTAGAAGGGAAGATTCTTAAGAAAGCACCTGAGGGTTTGTGTGAGATAATCTGTTTTCCTTTGACTTGAAGCAGCGCAGGGCGGAGTGAGGACTTTCAGAGTGTTTGCAGTGCTCAGGCTGTTGCACAAGGACAACTCCATGAAGAAAATTGCAAAGTCTTTCATCTGTCTTGATCCTTCTTGATTTCACCCTCTTTCATAACCTTGTCTGTTTCCGCGGTTACTGGACCTTACTCAAAGGTTTTACCAACCGGACAAATGCGATCTTTCGTGGCACCGAGGCTTTGCCAAAACCCAGCACTGGATGAGGCGATACTGTTACACCGTCGCCGCACACCCTAGATTCAAGAGCCAAACAGACTTGTTGTGACCACATTGTTTGTGTTGACATTTCGTGTGTGTGTTTGTGTGTGTGTGGTCTCGCTGCCAGGGGGAATGCCAAGTTCCTTCTCACCCTCTCTCATGAGGAATGCGACAGGCAAAGCAGATAGGGTGTGTGTGCAAGGGATAGTTCAGATCTTTGGAAGTGGGTCATTTTTTTATTTTTTTTTGCAAGATTATGAACAGTTAACACCTTGCCAGTTGTGGTTAACTCTTTGTACAACCTTAGTTTGGAGAAACACCGTTTAATTTTAACCAGACTGATGAGTTAACAAGTTGTACAAACATGGCCATGACATTCTCCAAGACAATTCAGTTATTGAGTTTATAACCTTCTACATGACCCTTTGACCCAGGACCTTTAAGCCAACTTGTTTAAAATGAATAAACTACATTCATTTTGAACCTTTAAATCTAAATCTAACCCTGAGCGGAACACACAAATGTCAAAACAAGTAATATCTAGCAGGAATTGTAGTATTTTAATGCAGTTAAACAGTGTGACACCAAGAACATAATAAACAATGCGTTAAACCTGTATTGATACCTTTTTAACTTGGTCTGTAACAGACAGGCACTGTGGTCCGTTTCAGTTGTCCTACTGGTAATAAGGAAGGAGGTATTCAAATCTTTTCGCAACAGAGCTCGACTGCGTGCGCACTTGTTTTCCATTTTCACATCACATTCCCAGGTGGAAACTGTGGTTTTTAAAGCGTCTCTATTTAAAGCGAGGCTGACCTTTCCAAACCGGAGAACGTCCTTCGTTTTCCTTCCTCCTATTAAACTGTGGCCATGGTGATAAGGGGACAATGTGTGTTTCAAGTGTGTTAATGTGTCTCTAAGAGAATCACTTGTTTTGTATGTCCTGACCAAATGAAAATAATTGGAGCGCATTCTGTTAACTTTGGGCGTTTGTGTGAGCTGTTGTGTGTATTGATTTTTCAGTAAATGTTTGCGAAGCACTTTTCATCAAAGAAACTTGAGCAGTTTGTACAATTTAACTTTTAGAAATGGAAGCATTTTTTTTTTACCACAAAATGTAGTAAAAACATAAATTCAAACTAGAGAAATGTATTTTCCAGCGAAAATGCAGTGTGAATGCTTACTGCTGAAGAATTTGCAGAAAAAACAGCTGAAATTAGGTAAAAAAATAAAAAAAACTTGCTAAATAGTAGCTGAATTGCAAAAACAGGCCTAAATTAGCAGACAAAGCAGAAAGAATACATATTTGTTGAATTAGGATTAAATGGGCAGAAATTAGCAGCATGGTGGTACAACTGGTAGAGCTGCTGCCTCTCAGCGAGCAGGTCCCCGGTTCAAATCCTGGTCCAGGGGCCTTTCTGGGTGGCGTTTGTATGTGCTCTCTCTGCATGCGTGGGTTTTCCCCGGGTACTCCGGTTTCCTCCCACAGACCAAAAACATGCATGTTAGGCTGATTGGTAACTCTAAATTGTCCCTAGGTGTGAGTGAGAGAGTGAATGGTTGATTGTCTCATTTGTCTCTATGTGGCCCTGTGATGGACTTGTGACCTGTCCAGGGTGTACCCTGCCCCTCGCACAGTAATTGCTGGACATGGGCACCGGCGACCCCCGTGACCCAGAATGGAATAAGCGGGTAAAAGTTAATGGATGGATAGTGTAGTGGACTAGGCCTACGTCGAAACCCAGTCTAAGGTCAAAACTCTTGACCTTTAGAACCTTGTGGGACAGAAGCTGTCATTTCATGTATTTGAATACATAAATACAGGTTCACCCATCCTGAGACTTTCTTTCTTGAAGATTCAAGTGAAAAGAACACTCTCTTTTTATTATCATTACTATCTTACAAATGTTGATAATCAAAGTGTCTTAGTTCAAACCATTTTAGATGTTGCAGTGAACTAATCAATTTTATTAACTGAGTAATGATTTTTATTCTCATGTTAAAAGCTGTTGCAGAGTAATTATGCATTTTTCTGATTTCTGCTTTTGAATGAGCAAGTGTGTGCGTTTACAAGGTTACAGTCAAACGAAAAACAAGTTGTTATGTTAAAACTGTCATGTTTTAGAATCCTCTCAGACGTAAATAGAGATGTTTTGCACCTGTTTCTTAAACACGCCACAACAAACCCTCTCGGTCTGTGAGAACATTTCTGAGCTGTCCCATAACAATTCTCGCTGTCTCTAACCTATTACGTCACAAAAACACACCCCTTCTGGTCGTTTCTGACCAATGAAAAATCCCAAAAAGTGAACCGGGAAAGAGTCTTTAAAATGTCAGTACTTCCTGGTCTACACAGACTCACAGGTACCCAGAGTGACTTACGTCTCACGGAGTTACAGACTCAGAGAGTTGTCAGAGTTCTAAGAGTTCTGAGAGCGTAGAGTTCGGTGAGAGTCTACTCAAGTTCTGCTGAGTTCTGATGGAGTGCTGTTGGAGTTCCTGACATGACAACAAAGCTCTTCCGAGTTCCATGGGATTATAACATTTTCCACTGAGGTGAATATGTGTCGAACAGAGCCTCGCCATTACTTCGGACGAGTAACAGCATCCTACTGAGACGCTGAAAGGGTGCGTTAAACGGAATCTCACCTGAGACATCTCCAGGTAAAGGAGCCGATTTCATTCACCTAAGTGTACTGTAAGGAAAAGCTGAAGAAAGCCGGAGAGTGTCGATTCTGGTGAACACTTAATTTCCCTCACATACCATCTTAACTCCCTCTAAACTTCTTTTCATCTTTAACTTTCTATCAAGTAGAAATTCTCCCAGATATTTAGAAATGTCTGTGTAAAGTGCTTACCCACATTCATGTGGGCAAAAGATCATAGTTGTACAGTTTTATAAATGTCTGTGGTGCAGCAACGGAAAAATCATGGCCGTATGATTTTTCCTGATTGATTGCTTATATTGTTATTTTCATAATTTGCCAAATTAATGTAAATGTTTGATGTTAAATTTGATTCTGTAAATAAATGACCGCATTCATTTTGATGGGTCAAATATAAATGACGTCTCACTTTGCATTTCCTTAAATTCAATGCACGTTTTATTCAGTCCAGAAAAATGAGGAACCCGCGTTAAATGATGAATATATCCCAGCATCTGTTCATCTACAATAGGCAGAAATTAGCACAACATTAGGAAATTAGCTAAAAAAGTTTAAATTAGCAACAACAAAAAAACCAGCTGAAAGGTAGCTAAAAAGACAGAAAAATCTTAAATTATCAGAAGGAAGTGGAGAGAGCACTTTTTTGCTGAATTAGGCAGAAAAAAGTTGAAATGAGTGCAAAAAAATGTGGAATTAGTTAAAAAAATTAGCACGATAACAGCTAAATAGTAGCTGAAATTGCAGAAAAAGATGAAACTTGCAGAATTAAGCTGAAAGGAGTAGAACAAGATGAAATTAGCAGAAAGAAGTTAGAAGTAGCACAAAAACTTAGTTGGCACAAAGAATCTGAAAGGAGCACAAAACAGCTGAAACCCCCCAGCTGAAATTAGCTGAAAGTAGCTGAAGGAAAGTTTCAATTTACACAAGGAAACTGAAAGAAGCTGAACCAGAACAAAATGTGAAAGGAGCAGTAAAAGATTGTGAACAGATCTAAACATTTGAAGAATGTAAATGAGCTCAATTCATTGTCCATGTAAAAAAAAGTTGCAGAAAAGGCTAAATATTTCAAAAAGTTAAAGTTGTACCAATACCAAAAGTCATATCACCCTTCTCCTGAACAAACTGAATGTTTTGATATATGATTTGTTGAAATCGTGCAAAAATTCTGTAACGAGAAAGATGCCGAAAAACGTGCGGGAAAAAAATGGATCACAATAGTGTGAATGCTTCATAAACATTCACACTATTAAAAACATGTACAGAATACTAAAATTAAACACCCGATGAGTTTTTGTTGTGTGCATACAGTATATTGCCTGTATGTTCACAAGTTGTGATGAATTATTAGACAAAATAATAGTTCGGTCTCTTTCTGTCTCACAGGCTACTTGTCCAAAGTGTTGAGGAACTACACTGAACAGGCCTGTGACGGAGACTTCCTGTCTGTCAACTGCCCGCCCCGCACCACCATCACTGTCCAATCAGCTTTTTATGGAAGAAGAGCTCCCTCTGATTCACTACATTGTCCTCAGTCCTATCAGGATCTCCCAAGCTGTTATCATTCCCAGGAGGATGATCAATATTGTTCTGTGTCCACTGCACTACAGGTAATTGACAACATTCCTTTTTTAGTGTCAAGCGATTATTTGTCATAGTTATTTTTTAATAGTTCCTCAGAATCCATGATAGGGATTCCTGTGTAGTGCAGACAGGGATATCGTCTTTCTCGTGGCATTCCTCACCCTGTTAGTCCAACTCCTAACACACAAACAAGCCTCTCTTTCTGAGCTCTAAATCCCACAGAAAGAATGCATCCCGTAAATTGGTCCAATTGCCAGAGGTAAAATTCTGCAGGACCACTGATTGTGTAATGCTTTGTTGGGAGGTTTTCCGGTAAATTACACTTCATAAAGAAGAAATTGGCTTGTATGTTTCCATGACACAATGCGATTTCATGGAGGTTTTGCCTCTCTAATTTAGGATGCGTCTGGGCTGGAAGGCACCGACACTAACGCATTGTGCTCAGCATTCATTTAGCTGTTGGGCTTATTCTTAGCCCTTCTGCCTTTAAGGGTCAAACATCCTCCATTTCCATTATGAAAAGGAAAAGCCGTGAATGCACAGACACAGAGGCTGCCTTGTGCTGAAGCGAGAGATCGACTGACTGCCGTGCCACCCGCAAGAGCACAACTCCGAAGAATTCCTATTGTGGCGTTTGTTCACGAGTCTGGGTTTGTTGGTGTTACAATACAAATGTTTTCACAGAACGATGCTAAGTTCATACTTTGCTTCATGAAGAAGAGCATTATTTCTCTTTAGTTTTTGTTGAGTAGTCAGAAACTTGGCTCATTTTAAAAAATATGCTGACTTAGAAATTATCATTAGTAGCAATAGATACAAATGGCCATATTATATATTTTATTTTAAGCCAGCTGTGACGGGATAAATAAATCTTTATTTTTATTATAAATATGAGGTGTATGAGCAGAATCTCACCAGTCACTCCTCCAGCAGCCAGGCTTTCAGTCTGGAATAACGTTGTGAGCCGGATCTCTCTCACCTGGATTACAGTGAGCCTAAAGTTGATGAAGCTCGGGAAGAAAATCAACGAACGCTCTTTCCAAAGTTTTGACTCAGTGGGCTGCTGATTTTCACCTGTGTTGGTTCATTGTTCTTTCTCTAAACCTGTCTTTGTTTTGTTCCTCGCCCTGTCACTCTTTGCTTCTTTAGAAAATGCTGGACGAGTGCCAGGACAGAAGGAGCTGTCAAGTCCTTGTCAACAGCCGTGTGTTTGGGATGGACCAGTGTCCTGAAAGCAGCAAATACCTCATTGTCTGGTACAAATGTAGACCTAGTAAGTTCCACATCACCCCCTGTCCTGACACTGAGACACTTCTCTGTCCCTCCTCGTGAGGCATCATTTCTCTCACACACATTTGGACAGAAATACTAAAGAGGTGAGGTCTCTTTATTTGCACTAAGGGGGAACTTATACTAACAATCAAAGGAAATCCATGTTCTGACTCTTTGCACGAAACACACCTTTGACCATTCCTGGAAACATTTCATCAATTGTTAGGTTGATTTTAAAGACTGTCATCGGAGTTCAGCTGTTGCTGCTTGCATAGTAACTTTAACTTGATACTGCTACATATTGTATGTGTCATGAATACAGTGTATATTGTTTGACATAAACCTTAAAGCCATCATTTAGATCTTTTGAACAGAGATGCACCAATCCAGATTTGAGCTCAGTTTACACGTTTAAGGTAAGTTGAATTTTAGCTCAACATCTGTAAAATTCACTGAGATAGGAGCGTTTCTTTTGATGGTTGGGTAGCCTTGGAAGCCATCTTGAATCTGTTGACTTCAAAAGATGAGCAGTTGTAGATGTACATCCAATGTTTACTTTCAAAAAGTTTCAACTCAGTTTGGCTCTTTGCTTACTAGATAACATGGTCGACTCCAACAGTTATTTCTTAAGTTTTAAACAACAATCTTACATCAACTTCTAGTACTCGGAGTATGTGTTGGATATGAGTCTCAGCTACTACTACACCAAACTGGACATCAATATTTGTAAAACAGGTGGAGTTGTAAGCATTTCTGTGTTTGCTAGGGTCAACTATCTTAGACAGTCATTTTGTATCAGGCTCTAAATTGGTTTAAATCATATTTATCTGATAGATTCCAATTTGTAAATGTAAATAATGAATCATCATCATACACCAAATTTAGTCAAGGAGTACCTCAGGGTTCACTGCTTGGACCAAAACACTTTACCTTATATATGCTTCCATTAGGTAACATTATTAAACAGCATGGGATACATTCTCGTTGTTATGCTGATGATGCACAGTTATATTTGTCCATGAAACCCAATAAATCCAGTCAGCTACTTAGACTACAAGCATGTCTTAAAGATATAAAAACTTGGATGACTGTAAATGTTCTGCTTTTAAATACAGACGAGACTGAGGTTTTTGTTTTTGGACCTGAGCATCTTAGGAATTAATTTTTCAGTCTTTCACTGTCCTTAGATGACATTAATCTTGTCTCCAGCTCTAATGTTACAAAACATGGTGTTATTTTTGATCAAGACATGTCTTGTAGCCCCCATTAAAAACGTTACTAGAACCACGTTCTTCCATCTGCATAATATCGCTAAAATTAGAAACATCTTATCAAAAATATGATGCAGAATAACTGGTTCATGCATTTGTTACGTCTAGACTGGACTATTGCAATGGTTTATTATCTGGATGTCCAAACACTTCTTTAAAAAGTCTTTAGTTGATCCAAAATGCTGCTACCAGAGTGTTAACTTAGTGGGAGAGATCACATGTATCCAGTTTTAGCTTCTTTCCATTGACTCCCTGTTAAATCCAGAATTGAATTCAAAATCTTATTTCTAACCTATAAAGACCTCAACAACCTGGCTCCATCTTATACTCGAGATCTTATTGTTCCATATTTTCCTAACAGAGCACTTTGCTCTCAGACTGCAGGTTTACTCTTGGTTCCTACAGTTTCAAAAAGCAGAATGAGAGGAAGATCTTTCAGTTATCAGGCTCCTCTCTTGGGAAACCAACTTCCAGTTTAATTGTTCAGTTTTAAGACTGAGTTTAAGACTTTCCTTTTTGATAAGTCCTATAGTTAGGGTTGGCTTGTTATGCTGTCATACTAGAGGACAAATTGACCTCATTTCTTAAAATGAATTGTAAAATTGAAAAGTTTTTATTTGATACTATTTCTATCTTAACATGTGATTCTTGACCTGCCATTGTGTATCTGTTCCTCTCAAACCTAGCTGGATGAAGTAGATGGTCGCTTGTCCTGAGTCTGGTTCTGCTAAAGGTTTCTTCCTCATGAGGGAGTTTTTCCTTTCCACTGTCGCCTTCATGCTTGCTCAAGAGTCTGCGATGGAGTTAAACTCAAAGCAGTCTGCTCCTCATATAAATAATGTTACATTATTATTTTTTATATATGAACGTTTCTGTTCAGTGCCCTGAGATGACTTCTGTTGTGACTTGGCGGTTTATAAATAAACTGAATTAACTCCACAAGTTAATCAGTTGTAAATGGACATCCAATTATGTTTTTATTTTTCCTCTAAAATTCTCATTAAAATCGGCCTTTCATAGCAGCTGGTGATCAATTTCCCTTGTTATGTTTCATTTACTGTATGTGAAAATATTCTTGTCAACTTAAATCGTTTCACTCTGTTGGTCTCTTTAGTTTCTGCTAGTTTTTTTTTCTTCTAATAAACACTCTTTGCGTACCTCTCCATTAATACTACTTGACTTTTTTATTCATGTGAGCCAACAAGTTAAGAGTATCACTCCAGAGGAGGACCACAACAGGGTAGATTCTACCATCCATTCAAGCTCAAGGCTGCACTGAGCTGTGGAAATCTGTTCACCAGAGTGACCACAAGTGAGCATTAATCCACCGATCCTCCCGCTGTTTTTCTATTTCTCCACTGGACGTCAGGGCCAATCAACAGCTCTTTGTTCGGTGTCACTTAACCAATGACTCCTCAGTGGAAGAAAGAAAGACCACATGGGGTGTCGGTGAGGTGCAGCAGGCAGGTGTCACTGCCTCTGAAAGGAGAGGCGGAGGGAAAACAGACCAGTGAGGGGAAGCTGGGAGTGTGTGACACGGAACAAGAGGGAATCCACCCCCAGGAAATATCCTGCTCATTTTGTCTGCGCTTTTTTTTTTCTGCATTCCTGTTCCACACCCCACATGGATGGAGAACACGGCGGCTGTTGTGTTTTTATTTGCAGGCCAGTGGAGCTGCACAGGTCACTGTGGCTGGATGTGTCTGAGGAATGCCTCTGCGTGGCTCTACATGTCCGCTGAGGAACTACACCCCCATCTCTGACTGTTTACACTCAATGAAACACTGTTTTCTATGTACCGGTAAATAGATTCAAGGAATCAAGGTTCTTTATTTGATATACGCACCACATGTGGTACATGTGGTGGAACGAAATTGTGGACACAGAGTCCCAGTTACATCCAACAAAAGTATTAAAATGTAAAAGAAAAACAGTAATAAGATCTAAGATATGAACTAAGAAAAATGTTAATAAAAAATACACTAAGCACTAGTAGCATAGAAACAATATGCCGAACAGCAGCACGAACATGAGTCTGTGTGAGCAGATGAGTACGAATGAACAGCAGCATGAAACAGATCAGCAGCAACATTATGTAATTTTTCCACAGTGATTATGATGGTTAGAGATACATGAGTCTAACAGCCTCAGGGTAGAAGCTGTTCCTCAGTCTAGTGGTTCTACACTTAATTCTCCTTAACCTCCTTCTTGAGGGGAGCGGGGCAAAAAGTGTGTGTACTGGGTGAGTGGGGTCCTTCATGATGCAGGTGGCCCTCTTCCTGCATCTGGATGTGTAGATGTCTGTGATGGTGGGGAGGCCGACTCCAACAGACTTCTGTGCAGCCTTCACCCCCTCTGCAAAGCTTTGAGAAAGATGCAGATGTTGAAAAAGATAGATTTAAGCAGGGTTTGTAAACACTTAAAAAGAGTTCAAGCTAATTTTGGTCAAAGCTTAAAGTAACGTTTTGCCTTATCTCACAAAATCTGTTAATGCTCGGAGTATATAGTGGGGATGACTCCCAGGGGTCACCACATCAGATTTTAGCTCAACATCTGTAAAAATGACAGTGTTTTAACCATGTTTTTTTATAAGCTAAGATGGCTCTGGTGGCCATCTTGAATTGGGTTGACTCCAACGTTAATCTGTTGTAGACGTTCATGCAATAATTACTTTCTGAGAGATTAATTCAAATTAATCCACTGTTTCCAAATATATTTTACTAACGGACAAAGTTGACTTTATTAGATAGTGGTAATATTTTAAATGAAGAGCTTGCATGGTCTATATGTTAGGAACAACTATCAGCTAATACCACGACAAAATTTGTCTTAGCCATTTTAGTGTTTACCAAGGTTGCATTATTGTGGAAGCCATTTTGAATCAGGTAAACTCCAAAAAGTCATCAGTTGTAGATGTACAGTGACGATGAACGTTTGAACAAAATCTGTTCACTGGTTTGTGAAATATTTTGCTAACAGAGACACAAACCAAAAGACTGACCCCACTGCTGAAAAAGGAGGGCAATATTACAATCAGACATGTTTATAATATTCCTTACAGTTTATGAGGCTTGTCTTCTTCTCTCCCCAGATGAGTATAAGAGTAAGGTGGTCTGCGAGGGGGAGAAGATGAGGCTAAACTGCAAACCAGGCATGCAGATTGCTGTTTACTCTGCCATGTTTGGACGAACTCAGCAGGGCACTCTGGAGTGTCCCACTTACTACCGGAGGGCTACATCAGTAGGTGAGACTTTTTGTTTTTAATCAGTTTGTAAGACACTTTTTCTGTGATGTAAATTTATTTTTTTCTCTAATTTTGAAACAACTCCCTATTAAGCAGAGTTCTAAGATTATGTCTGCAGGGTACTGTATTCCTGACTTCTGCTGCTAAGAAATTATGAGCATATGCTGAAAAGGGTGATAAAACGGCAAATCGTATCCAATCCCTTGCCTCACCTCTGGCTTGGATAGTGGGGTTAGTCTGAGGTCATAAGAGGAATTAGAACATGTGCAAGAACACACACGCAGGGAATGCAAATCAGACACGCATGTTTGCAGGTGTCAGAAAATGTAATCCTTTTACATATTTATAATTTGATAAAGTGAAGCTTCAGGTCACTCTTTTTTATGTAACTTTTTTGTGAGCAAAACATTCCAGACATCATTAGCAGTAGAAAAATGCAGCAGTTTTATTAATTAGCTGAACACGTCAGGGCTCGAACACCTTGGAAACACAAAAATGAACTGGAAACCGTCCTGAGTTTTTAGTGTCTGCTGAATCTCAGATTCATTCATTTTATGATTCTGGTGATGTTGCCTGAAGATGATGTTGCGGTTTGTTAAGATTTCATCGTTTCCTACATCGTTCTCAGCTGCAAAATTAGAAAAAGAGACGCATCTTTGATTCCAGCTAATTAAAGCCATTTCCTCTTCTATTCACAATGCCTACACTGAATGTGACATCTTACAATATTGAGTGAGATTGCATGCAACATGTTTTTGAAGTTTTAAACAAAACGGCTACAACGTTACCATTTTACAATACAGCAATTTCAGTTTAAAAATGCTAGCAGTAATATACTGTATATTTCTTTAAACAGTTCTAAGCTCTCATTTCATAATTTCCTTTTGAAAGCATTTTAAAATGCATAAAACTAATACTCGGGGTAAGAGAAGGAAGGTTCACACAAACTTGCACACACTACCATAGGAACTGGGTGGAATGTAGATCAGATGTCATCTGAAGCAGAGTTTGACCTTTTGTAAAGGGACATATTGAGTTTCTTACAGGTATGAATGTGTGTATTTACATGTGCAAGTATATGGAATACTCCTTGAATCGCTACCATATCATGGTGGAGTTTGAGTGCCTGAATGATTCTTAGGAGCTATACTATTAAGGGCAATTGGTCCTGGTATGGTCTTCCAAGGCAGATTGGTGCTATGTGACAGACTGTACAGAAAACAAAGAGTTCAGGGTCCCTTGCCTGGACAAAGGTTACTGGTACATAGGGTGGATTGCTCTCCCCGGGTTGTGAGTGAGGTTCTGCCTCAAGTGGACGAGTTAAAGTATTTTGGGGTTTTGCTCACAAGTGAAGAAAGATTGGAGCGGGATATTAACAGATGGATTGGTGCAGCATCAGCAGTACTGCAGACTCTGTGCCATCCGTAGTGGTGAAGAGGGATCTGAGCTGTAAGGCAAAGCTCTCTGTTTACCAGTCAATCTACATTCCTACCCTAACTTATGGCCATGAACTCTGGGTAGTGATCGAAAGAACAAGATTGCGGATACAGGTGGTCAAAATGAGTTTTCTCTGCAGGTTAGCTGGACTCTCCCTTAGAGATACGGTGAGAAGTTTGGTTATCAGGGAGAAAATTAGAGTAGAGATGCTGCTCTTCCACATTGAGAGGAGCTAGTTGAGGTGGTTTGGGTATCTGTTAAAGATGCTCCCTGGGCACCTCCCTAGGGAGTTGCTCCATGCAGGTCCCACTGGGAAGAGGCCTGGATGAAAACCCAGGACATGCTGGAAAGTCTATATCTCTCAGAGGGCCTGTGAATGCCTTGGGGTCCTCCCAGAAGAACTAGAAGAGGTGGCTGGTCCCCTGTAATTCTAAATTGTCCCTAGGTGTGAGTGAGAGAGTGAATGGTTGTTTGTCTCGTTTGTTTCTGTGTGTCCCTGTGAAGGAATTGCGACCTGTCCATGGTGTCCCCCGCCTCTCTCACAGTGATAGCGGGACATGGGCACCATTAACCCCCATGACCCGAAAAGGAAGAAGTGGGTGAAGATAATGGATGGATGGATGGATGGATGGATGGATATTGTAAAATAAATATTAGAACAATTGCTACTAGTTACACCTCACCTTGCTGAGCTTTGAGTTGGTTCAGTCCAACTCAACAGAACACTGGTCACTGCTGGATCGCTAGTCAGACAGTGTTCAGCTGTGGAGATGCAAAAGAAAACAAAATATGTTTTTAAAGTGTTAACTGTGCTATCTATTTTTCTGGCTACAAATCAGACAGAACAGAAAAAAAATCCCGAGTGATATCACGCATGTGCATGATATCCACAAGTTCATCAACAGCGGGAAACGAAAGAAAATGTTTTTATCTTTTTGGGGATTCATATCTATTACCCTGAACTTGATGTAATTATACAATGTCTTTCCGTCTTCATTTTATGACATAATCAGGTACCCATGCTTGTATGTACTTGTTTCTTCATCTTGTGGAGTTTGAAAACTGCATATTGGGTTGTAAAGCTTATTCCATCGACAGATTTAAACAAATAGATTAAAAGCTAAAGAGGGAATGGTGGCATGGTGGTGCAGTTGCTAAAGCTGCCGCATCTCTCTGAGAAGATTGCTGGATCGAATCCTGGTTGGGGGTCTTTCTGGGTGGAGTTTGCATGTTCACTCTGTGCATGAGTGCGTTTTCTCTGGGTACTCCGGTTTCCTCCCACAGAACATGCTTGTTAGGCTAATTGGTAACTCTAAATTGTCCCTAGGTGTGAGTGAGAAAGTGAATGGTTGTTTGTTTCGTTTATCTCTGTGGCCCTGTGATGGACTGGAGACCTGAAAAGGAAGAAGCAGTTAAAGATAATGGATGGATGTTCATAAATGTGAGCTATTATGTGAGTTAAAGGCTAATAAAAGGTTCATTATGATTAATTTGCTTGTCTAGTTGTAACCTTTTGACAGAGATGTTGAGATGAGGTGGACAGCTCAACAAAAGCTTCACTCACCATTTAATCATAGACAGATATACAGAACAACCTTGTGTGAAGATGTATTCTCAGATCTGTGTCTTATTGTGCTCCACATGAGCATCGCTTTGAAGCAGCCCCCCTCCTCATACAGGTGGATCAGGAATGTACGACAGGTAGAGGTAGCAGATGAGATTCAAATGGCCGGGTGTTTGGTTTCAGACTCTGGATCACATACAGTAGCTCTCAGAGTTGAAGGAAAATGGGCTCCGAGCGAAGTACACAGTGGTGTTTGTTGTTCGGTGTGCTGGTTTTTTTTGGGTTTGTGTGTGTTGTTTTTTTTTTTTTCAACTGTGCATTAGAGGCACAAAAACACATTCCTGTTGAACTACTATGCAGTGATCATTTTTCAGCTTTCTGTGTGCATAAATTCCCCCTCCCCCCACTTACACACAACCCGCAACCTCCTCCTCAGGGTGTTCCAGAGAGCCTCATGATGCTGGAGTGGGGTTTCCCCTGTCATGTCATGTCTTTGATGTGGTTCCCGTCACCAGCAGCAGGAAGTCAGGGTGTCTTGAGTGACAGCTTAGTTACAGACTGTTAATTATTTTAAATTCTCTCAAGGTCTCCTTCAAGTCTGAATAATTTTGTGCATTTCCGTTGTGCACAAGTTTGCTTTGCATCCACACAATTCTGGTTTCTTTAATTGTGTGTGTAGAAGTTTCTAAGAAAGATTGTAAACTAACCTGCTGCTTGACGTTTGAGATAAACCACTGAGTTCTCGCTTTGGCTGGTTTATCACCCACTGCAGATAGGCAGGCAATAACATTTTTGTCTGTGTGTTTTCAAGTAACTGTGTATCTGCCTGTTAGCAAAATATATCACAAACTACTGGATGAATATTAGTGAAACTATCAGGAAATACTCATTGGATGCACCTTTTGGAGTGAATCTGAGTTGATGAAAAATCCTCAAAGTAAAGGGGCGAGCCTCAGCACTCCTCTCTCATCTGCCTCATTACCATCACACACACCTCATGACATCTAAATAACCCCTCATGCTTGGCATGCAGGATGTCAGACCTATTTTTCCTCTCCGTTATGGCAGGTGTGCTTTCGCTTTGGAGGAGATGCTTCAAATGACATATTTCAAACTTTAGTCTCAAACTTTCTGAACAATTACTTTGTGCACTGTTGCTGTTTAACAGTTTGCTTCTAGACACCTATTGCAGCTGAAAACTGAAGCTTAATTTTTTTTATTTCGACAAGTTTGTGCAGGGTTGCATGCAGTTTATGCTTAGAGTATGGGTTGGGAATGACTCTCAGCAACTACCAGCTTGATATCTGTAAAATCTGCTGAGCTTTAGCTATTTTTGTGTTTGATAAGATATGTTAGCTCTGGTGGCCATCTTAAATTGGGTTTGCTCCAAAAGTTATAGATGCACATTCTGTTACTTTCTATGTGTTTTGTTAAACTTTGTCAAGTGACTCATGAGGTATTTTGCTAACAGACTAATACACATGTAGACACAGGCAACATCATCGCTGCTTCACTTTCAGTAGCTGATAAACACAAGACTTGCCTGTTGTTTATTTATTGGGGACTGCCTAGTAAGACAGCCACCTATTATTATCCACCTGGCAAGGGTTTCTTAACTTTATATCTTATTCTTCCATCAACTTTAATGCGATCCAAACTGCAATGTGCACTCCCACAAATGCTATGTCAAAATGACCGTGATGTGCGCTGTTGCTTTTATTGGCATTTCGAATGACCATAGCGACGTAATTTGCAAACAAAGACGCCGTTTTTATTAGTCATTTTTCATAGACTGGTTGCAAATTGAATATCCAAGATGGCCACCTGAGCTAACAAAAGAAAAATATTGTAAATCAGCCAAATTTTAGAGATATTAAGCTGAAATTTGGTGTGGTAGTAGCTGAGAGCAATGCCCAATAGAGAATTTTTAAAAATTCAAGATGGCCACCAAAGCTACATTTAAACGACTTTAACTCAGTTGTTTACACATTGAGCTGAA